AGACCCAGACTCCGGCTCCAGGAGCCCCTAGCCCTCAGCTTCTGCGCTCCAACTTGAAGCCAATGGCGAGGTCCTTTCTACAGCTACGCCGCCCAATGGCGCTCGGCTTTACTGGGCAGTGAGGCGAAAGCCGCCCCCCCCCCCTCTTTTCTCGCTGCTCTGGCTTCGTAGTGGGGCCGGGTTGTTTGTCTGCGCTCGCTAGGGTGGCGTGTTTTTACACACACACACTTAAACAAGGGAGCTGGAACTACACTGCTTTCGCGCATCGCCGCAGCCGCAGAAACCCGGGGAGCAGGTCTGAAGCGCAAGAAGGAGAGGAAGGGGAGGGGTGGAAGAAAAGGATAGCGGTTCTCGCGAAGGATATCGACTGTCGTTGGCGTTACTGTCTTACTCCAACAAGAGGCGCCCGCTGCACGTTTTTTTTTTTCTCCCCGTCCAGTTCAATTTTCTGCGCGTCGTAGCGACAGGCGCCGATTCCCCGTGTCGGGTCACCACCACCACCACCACCACCACCAGCAGACATGTCGGAGTTCCTGGAGGACCCCTCGGTGCTGACCAAGGATAAGCTGAAGAGCGAGCTGCTGGCGAACAGCGTGCCTCTCCCGAGCGGCGAGCAGAAGAAGGACGTCTACGTCCAGCTGTACTTGCAGCACCTCACCGCGCAGAACAAGGCGAGGAGGAACCGGGGTGCCCCGGAGGCTTTCTCCAGCGACGAGGAGCTGCCGGCTGCGCCCCCGGTCAGCAACAGGAACCGCTCCGGGAGGGTAAGTCTGCACTTTGTCCCGGCCGCCGGCGGCGGCTGCTTGAAGCGCCGGCATGCCTGCAGCTCTTGGTTACATTGTGTTTCCCTGCTGCGGGACCCGCTAGCTCAATGAAACGCCAGTTTGAAAAAAAAAAAGCGTGCAACTGTAGCCGGGGCAGGCAAGCTTGTATCGCGACTCTCCTGATTTTATTAACCGGTGACCGCGTTGTTTTAGCACTTATTTGTCCCATTTAAAAAAAAATAATAATAAGAGAGGACCGGGTATTTATTTCTGGTATTTCTTTGTTTTGTTTTAACCAACTACAGCGGGTCAAGATTGTGTCGGCTTGTGCCGGGGCCGCTCGTTCAAGCGCGGATTGTTGTGAATTGTCGCTTGTGCTCTTCGGTGGTGCCTCCTGTCAAAAGTTAGCTCTGGCCTGTGCAGGACCACCACCGCCAGCCAGGCATGCGTTACAATATGGTATAGAGGTCTGCATGTTTTCCCCGCTGTTTACATTTATTTCTCTTTGAAGAACCTTTTTTTTTTGGTCTTAGCCCAGACCGAAGTAGGTCTTCTACAGATAACGTTGATCTTGGGGGGGGAGACCACAATGCGGTGCATGAAGGCGATTGAAAGCGATTGGAGTGGGAAATGGACAGGTGCCGGAGTGCCCGTGTGAATTTTGGGGGGAAGTGTGAGCTTCATTCACCTGTCCTGCGAGTGTGAGCGATGCTGTCGCTGAGAATCGCCTCCGTCTCTCACTTTCCCGCTTAAACACTCGGACCGCCTTCGGAGCCGAGAGCCCCTCGCTATTGTGTGGGAACTGCCTTTCGCCATTAATAATTCATTTTCGGC